GGTATAGCCTTGTGACCGTAGTCATTGTGTTTGGCCGGAGCCTTTCAGTCCCCGAGTGAAGTAGTTTCGGCATCTATATCGAGGGTATGCCTTTTTAGGGGTCTTACAAGTTCGATATATAGCCTTAACATTAAGATCACGATTATGCCTTTTGTAAGGTCTTTCAAATTTTACATGCCTTTGAGGTCTTACATTTTTGATTACTTGGTACAAGTATGGTTCATGTCTTGCTTGAGGTCTTACAGTTTTGGTCACTTGGTACAAGTGTGGTTCATGCCTTGCTTGAGGTCTTACAAATATTGTTGTTGCCTTATATAGGCCTTTCGAGACCGAGGTTGCCCGCATGTGGTCTTATGGCCTCGGGTTTTGACAAGTCGATGGGGGTGGCGATTGGCGGCAGTTCCCGAGTCATCGAGAGTTTCTTGGATCGGGAGTCATTACTTGTAAACTTGGCATTGCCTCATTGAGGGCTTACGATTTCGGAGTTTCCGACCCGGTGGTCATGTGGCCTTGAGTTTTCGACGCCAGTCTCCGAGTGTTCTCCCATTTTTGGCTCTGGAGCCGTTTTGTGATCTTGATGTTGCCTCATTGAGGGCTTTCAAGTTTGAAGCTCCGACCCGGGGGTCATACGACTTCGAGTTGTTGACATCAGTCCCCGAGTGTTCGGGACGGTTTTGGCTCTAGAGCCATTTTTGCAAAAATAGCGAACTCTTTTGAAGCGTGAAATGTTTTGATGGAAGGTATTCTTTGATTACTTGGTACAAGTATACATGATTTCGTTGTTAGGGGCTCGGTTATTCTATACGGGCACGGTTCGTTCAACCGTTTATCCCGGTACATCATTTCCTTATTGAGACCTTGTTCAGCACATCTTGGCTTCTTCGAGGAGGTGATCTTCCGGGGGGATGCCTACCAGTATTCGAGGTTGATTGAAAAGGAAGCCTTGAATACTTGTTGAATCTTCCTTAGGTAAACATAGATGTTGCGTCGTTAAAAACCTTGCCGGTAAAACCCTTCTTGGGATAAAACCCGGTCGAAGGAAAATAGTGCAACGTATGCTTTTGGGACCTAAGGCCTTCGAGTTGGAAAGTGTTTCGGCCATTTTGATCGGATACCTGCGTTCAGGTTAGTATAAAATGTAACTGAAAAAGGGAGATGACCATACATTAGTGCTGATGGCACTTCGGACCTCGATGTGATTCAATCGATTGTTATGAGGACTCGGTACGGTCCTTTATTTTGTTTGGTCGGGCACAACCGAGAATGCAACTTGTTATCGCTATTTTATTGTTTGCTTACCCTTTGGCTCCTTCGGCGGTGGAGGTATTGGTGTCAGCGCCACATCGTGCACTGCGAACATTTCTCTTGTTGCATGTTGTTCCCCATAGATGGTTTTTATCCTATCCTTTGTCGGGAATTTTATCATTTGATGGAGGGTGGACAATACTGCTCTCATGCAGTGTATCCACGGCCTTCTGAGCAAGGCGTTGTATCTCATGTCTCCTTCGATGACATGGAATTTGGCATTTTGGGTTATGCCGGCCAGGTTGACTGGGAGGGTGATTTCCCCTTTCATTGTTTTACTCGCCATGTTGAATCCGTTGAGGACTCAAGAGGCAGACATGATTTGGTCAAGCAGCCCAAGCTGCTCTACCACTCTCGACCTGATAATATTGGCCAAGATACCTGGATCCACAAGTACACATTTCATTTGAAATGTATTTACAAGAAAAGAGATTACTAGTGCGTCATTGTGAGATTGAGACAAGGTATCGATGTCCTCGTCGCTGAATGTGAGAGCATCCTTGGGTATGTAACCCCAAGTTCGCTTTTCTCTGGTGATGGATATTTTTGTTCTTCTGATCATGGGCTCTTGTGGAGCATCGACTCCTCCCAAGATCATATGGATGACATGTTGCAGCTCATTTATTTCATTTTTCTTGGTCGCCTCTCTTTCCCGGAAGTGATTTTTGGCCTGGTCGCGGAGGAACTCTCGGAGGTGACCTTTGC